GCTTGTGACATCACAAAATGACGGAAGTATAAAACTTAATATACATTAAAAATACATTTACTTACAGTAAATATGCCCCTGGGTGCATTTTTTTGGTCCTAGTACTGTTTTTTTAAGAAGTACATACCCAAAGTTGAGTAAAATAAACTTTAAAAAGTGAATTTTGCATAATAGGTCCCCTTTAATGTATTTGTTTGCATTTTTTTTGTACTTATTTCCTGGTCAACTATTGCTTTGTTTGTTTTTAACCAACTAGTAAAGCACTTTGGTCAATCTATATATAGATTTGCTACAGAATTAAAAAAAACTCAGATAACATGATGGAGGATAAAGTAAGAACAAAAACCTTTAGACACTTCAAAGGATTTTCTTGACGTCAATGTAAAACTCATCAAAAACAAATCGGATGGGCGAATATATTGACTAAAATTAATTAAATTAACTCAATTTTTGACCACTTCTGGCCGTCGACCCTTAAGGTGGCCCGTGTGTSGCCTAAAGCTGTTTATGAGTCCCGACGCCCACCAAAGAGCCGAAGTCCAAGCAGCTAAAAATATTTACAAAAAGAGCTTTTATAGTTCACAAGAAAAGATCAATAGGCTGAGAGAAAAAAAAAACAAGATGCTGATGCAACTTTTTTTTATGTACCGTTTGCCCTCCAACCTCAATAAACTTAACGACCTTAAGATAAGTTAGCTGTCGTTCTCTGTGACAACGTCCAGGCGTTAGATTTGTTTCTTTATATCCATCAGACAGATACGAGCGTTTGAGTTAACYTTCCGTCTAACTCCGAGCGCCGGGGAGAACCGGTGCTTTTCCAGAAATGTCAGAGTAATCTCTCACAGCGGCGTTGTTCTCTGCAGCTGCTTCACTACGCTCGACGGTGATAAAAGATGAAACGTAGGCGGTGTGATCGCTAAGACAACGCTTTTAACGAGGTGTTTCACACGAGAGGAGACGCTCGTTCTGTCGTCGAGCGTYACTCCTGCAACCTTGGCCTCAATTAATAGATCTACAACAATCCCGGATGTTAGAAAATATGTAACTTGTGCTCTCATGCCRGTAAATTTCCACTTCTTGTCAAGTGGACCACCGATGCCTAATCCCCTGTTATAGTTTCACATGAGGCTTAAGAGCGTGAGAATGAGAGCCGGAGACACGGGGAGARGGGGGTAAGGCAAGTCAACCGCTCATCCAGGCGGAATCCAAAGAGGAAAGTGATAAGAGGTGGACTGTGGCCACTGATCAGCAGCCAAACGGCTGTTTTACCTGAGCTGTAGCTGTCTGTGGAGGACTGGGAGATGGAGCGAGACAGGGAGCGCCGGCCGATCTTGGAAGGACGCTTGCTGAACTCCTGCTTCTGGTCTGCGAACTGGATCTGCAGGGGGAGAAAATAAAAAGAATGACTCTCAGCTACTACCAAACCAAATTTTAGCTCCACTTCTGTAAAACTGACTGAGCTGCAGCCATTTTTGTGTTGTCTTATGTCAGCTGGATGAAGCGGCCATCTTTAATTGGTTGGCTCCAAAAGTTAATCAGTAGTTAAAGCAGTATATACATTAATTATTACATTAATCTGTCCAATGGTTCATGAAATATTTTACTAACAGACAAAGCTGACACCACAGTTTAGGTGAATATCTATAATTGACTGAGTTGCACTTGCAGCAATTTTTAAGACCAGCTTGCAGTGGCAGACATTTTGAATCAAGTTGACACTAGCTAACCACTTGCAGCTTCTAGCTAACCACTTGCCACTTTTAATATCTAGCTAGCTACTTGCCACTTTTAGCTTCTAGTTAACTGCTTTTAGCTTCTAGTTAACTGCTTTTAGCTTCTAGCTAACCACTTGCAGCTTCTAGCTAACCACTTGCAGCTTCTAGCTAACCACTTGCAGCTTCTAGCTAACCACTTGCAGCTTCTAGCTAACCACTTGCCACTTTTAGCTTCTAGTTAACTGCTTTTAGCTTCTAGCTAACCAACTTGCAGCTTCTAGCTAACCAACTTGCAGCTTCTAGCTAACCACTTGCCGCTTCTAGCTAACCACTTGCCACTTTTAGTATCTAGCTAGCTACTTGCCACGTTTAGCTTCTAGTTAACTGCTTTTAGCTTCTGGTTAACTACTTTTAGCTTCTGGTTAACAACTTTTAGCTTCTGCTTAACTTCTTGCAGCTTCTTTCTTTAAAACTCATCCATGTAATATTTTGCCAACAGACATCATGATGTTAATGATGACATTTCCAGTAATCATAAAGAAACTTGTGTGGCGTTTTCTTAAGCTTAAATGTTTTTTTTAATTCTTGTGTGTTGAGTTTTTGTGAGGTCTGCTCAAGCTGGACACACAAAAACAAACGAGGGGAACAGAAGAATCACGACGCAGCGTCTGAACTCACAGACCAGCTTTGAGTTTCCACTCGCTTTGAAAGATAAAAGAGACAATAACTTCATTATCGCTCAGGAGAGACAAGGCCAGGCAAGGTGCCACGGCTCCTCCTGCCTCTGAAACGAGGCCACTCGATGCACTCAGACCAACACGCCGAGCACCATCCTGTCATTTTCCACTCTTACATCAGAGCTGAAAGTCTGATGCATCATAATTCATCCGCCAATAATTCGGAACGAATGGCTAACCTATTATCACAATAAAYCCGGCTACAAGAACAAATCATCACGCCCGGATGTGCATTGATCTCCAGGGCCTGAAAGCTTGTTTTTATTTCGGCCGTCCTCACATGAACTGTTGCTGAACGCCACTCACTGCACAGGAAATCATTCACTGGAGAGCTGGTTGGAGAGAGAATACACCGACGCAGCTTTGACAAAAAGGTGGCAGAAAACCTTTATAGGGAGTTGATAAAGAAAAAAAAGCTGCTGCATGAATCACTCTTTTGTAACTTTGACATTGAAGAAAGCTCAACTCGAAGAAAGAAACTGAACAAAAATACAGTTTGCAAATTAAATAATCAAGAAATCTAAATTAACTGTCCTCTGTGTGCAAATAATCTGGTGTAAAACTACCTGATTACACCCCAGAGGTGATAAAAACAGTGATAAAACATAAAAAAACAGCCACAGAGGTGAGGTTGTGTATCAAAAGGTCAAAGGTCAAACATTAGGGCAATAGTTAAACTTCATAACAAGGTCTTTCCTAGGGATGGGCAGGTATTTCCTCATATTCAAGGTCTAGTTAAATTAGTTCAAAGACTGTTTAAGCTTCCCACCAACGTCCCTACCAAAATAAAACAAAAATATTTGAGCATCCCAATTGGATTTTATTTTGAAAGGACTACGCAGTGGAAGCCATGGTCAGGAGTGAGCTCAGCTTTACGGCAGTAGTACAAAATAATAAATAAATATATAAAGACTCATAGCTAGGAGCACACATCTCCTAACCGAAAGCTAACATTTTGTTAAAGGGATCCACGATTAGTTGTAACATTAGACTTTATTTGATAAACATTTTTTAACTGTAAAATAAAGACTGTAAAAATACTGTAGGATGTTTAGTTTTGTAAAAAAAAATTTAAAATATATTTTAACATGGAAGGAGCCATTTTTTTTACACGCAAAGCATTCTGGGTAAATGATGATGTCAACTAGGTCATTGGTGCGAGGCTGCTAGTGAGCAATATCCACCCTGAAGGTTAATCTTGGACAATATCTGA